CGTCCTTTATCAAATGTTTTACTTTACCCTTCATTAAAAACGCTTTTCTATGCATTGTCCTTATCAAAACTATCAATCACTTTGGTAATGTGGGGTGGTGTAAATTTCAATACAAAAAAAGGGTCATCACATTACTTAATAAATCGTTGCGTTCTATCCTTAAGGTTAGGTATGATGATGATAATATTCCTTTGACATGCACTAGCGAACGATATAGGCAGTCGAAATTTTTAAAACTTGACGATATGTTCAGATTTCAACTTTTAAAATTCATGAATAGGGCACTTTACCATGATGCCCGTCTTTCTAAATCTGCCTTCGCCCCTTTTGTTCCCCAACATTCTCACAACACCAGGGGCGATCGATTTAACTTATCACCGGTTCGTTTAGAAATAGATAAAAGCGGTACCGTATTTAATTGTGTTGCATATGTTAATGAATTGCCAGATGAGTTCAAACAAGAATGCTCCGAAGTGTTATTATAAATAAAATTCCGTGATTTTATCCTTAATACCAGTATCAATTTGATTTCGATATATATGCAAGTTTTAAGCATTTTGGCTAGATGTTTGCAGTTGTACCCCTATTTTACTTAATGAAATGTTGATATTGCCTCTTTTATGCCGATTTTTCTATTATGACATACAGGCTTTTTCTATAATGGCATGAAGGCTTTTTAAGGTTTTTGACAATGGTTCCGAGTATTTAGGAAATTTGTTACTTGTTTGTTCTCATCGTCGTCTTGTTATCATTGAAATTGAGTTTGTACCTATTGTGCTGTCTGCAAATCTTTTTTAGCTTATATGGGAGTTCACCTGGAAGCCTTGCTATTTCATTTCACGTCTCTTTCATATTTCATTGTAACGTGTGCTCCTATGTGAATAAATAAATAAAAAGTAATATCAGTAAATAAATTTTTCCGTATTTCAATGAATAACACAAACAACATGTTTTCCTTCATTGGCCCTGCTTGCCAACCGTTTAGTGTAATCCGATGCACATGATAAAAGAGAAATTAATCTCACCGCAGAAATAACTACGCCGCTTCCACCCGTATTACAATATTGCATGACGGGTATGTTGGCGATGGCTTTGCGTATATTGCTCCCAATTCTAGTGCATCTGAGGCCGCGGATTGATTGCGTATGCATGTATTGGACCCACAGGGTTCGACAAAATAAGAGAAACGCCTGAGAAATCCACAAAATATATTTAGTATGGTGTAGGTCCTCCTCTTGTGGTAATTACAGCCTCAATTCTCCGATGCATTGATTCATGCAAATAGGGATTTTTTCCAAAGGAATTGTTACCATTCTTCAGTTAAAACTTCCTCCGGCTCTTTTAAAGACGATGGCGGCGGGAATCGACTTCTAACTCTGTAAAATCGACTATAAATGCTCTATAAAATTCAGGTCTTGTGATTATGGTGGTCAAATGAGATGCTGAACTTCATTACAATATTTCTCGTGCCATTTTTCAACAATTCCACTGTATGGATTGGGGGCGTTATCATCTTGAAGGATGGCGTTCCCTTTTGGAAACAGTGCATGAACCATTGGATAAACTGGGTCCTCCCAAATTCCTAAATAATCATGGCTGTTGATTCTTCCATGAAGAAAAATCATTGGTCCGTCGGATTTCCAAGAAATAGCACCCCAGATCATCACAGATCCCCCGCCATGTTTTACGGTTAGGAGTAGACAGTTGGGATTGAATGACTCTTTTGGAGCAGGCAGTCGGGATTAAATTACATCTCCATACGTAAACTCGGCCAGATCGAGGTTGGAAATAATCGATGATTCGTCAGAGAGAATCACATTTTTTTCAATGTTCGAGGGTCTAATTCTGGAAATTTTTACACAATTAATAACGCTTTGAAGCATTTGTACGTATTTGGAACCAGGGGTATTTTAATTGCGCTCTTCCATAGAATCCAGCTGATCTGTGGAGCTCTCGGCGGACAGTATTATGGAAACTATGTTCTGTAGGTGTTCTTTGAGAACTGCAGTAATTTTAACAGCCGTGCTCTTTCGATTGTTCCTCACAACTCAATTTTGACACTGACGGTCCCTCTAAATCTAAAATAACTTCGAATTTCGGCCAGACCTGTGCTTTGTAGATGACGTTTTTCCTTCGTTTACAAAAGTAGTCATTACTTTTGAGACAGTCAAAAGTAATGATTTCTGTCACACTAGAACACCTGTTATACGGACACAAACAATTTGGCCTCTTTGGAAGTCGGAGAGGTTTGCCATAAATAGATTAGTAGCGACTCTTTAGCCCTTGTGTTAAAACCAATAAGCAAGTCACCGTCAAGTCGGCACGCTACCCATAACTATTTCGACTTCGCGGCGGTGTTTCCGGTCACACAAGTTATAAGCATTATGGCTAGATGTTTGCAGTTGTACCCTGTTTTACTAAGTGTAATGTTGATATTGCCTCTTTTAAGCTGATTTTTCTATTATGACATGAAATTATCAGTTTTTTAAGGCTTATGTCAATGTTTCTGTTTATTTTAGAAATTTGTTACTTATTTGTTCTCATCGTCGTCTTGTTATCATTGGAATTGAGTTTTGTACCTATTGTTTTGCCTGCGAAGCTTTTTTTAGCTTATATGGGCATTCACATGGAAGCCTTGCTATTTTATTTCACGTCTCTTACCTATTTCGTTGTAACGTGTGCTCCTGTGTGAATAAATAAATAAAAAGTAATAGAAATAAAAAAAATTTTCTGTATTTCAACGAATAACGCAAACATGTTTTCCTTCATTCGATCTGCTTGCCAAACGTTTAACGTAGTCCGATGCACATGATAAAAGAGAAATTAATCTCACTGCAAAAAAACAACGTCGCTTCCACCCGTATCAGATCTAGTGCATCTGAGCCCGGGAATTGATTGCGTATATGCATGTAATGGACCCACAGGGTTAGACAAAATAAGGGAAACGCCTGAGAAATCCACATAATATATTTTAGTATGGTGTAGGTCCACCTCTTGTGGTAATTACAGCCTGAATTCTCCGATGCATTGATTCATGCAAACAGTGATTTTTTCCAAAGGAATTGTTACCATTCTTCAGTTAAAACTCCCTCCGGCTCTTATAAAGACGATGGCGGCGGAATCGACTTCTAACCCTGCAAAATCGACTATAAATGCTTTATAAAATTCAGGTCTTGGGATTATGGTGGTCAAATGTGATGCTCAACTTCATTACAATTTTTCTCGTGCCATTTTTCAACAATTCCAGCTGTATGAATTGGGGCGTTATCATCTTGAAGGATGGCGTTCCCTTCTGGAAACAGTGCATGAACCATTGGATAAACTGGGTCCTCCTGAACTTCCATGAATTTCGAACTGTGTATTATTTCGAATTGAATTCCGAGATATAAATAACGTTCATGCAGCAAAATATTTACAAAATCACGCAAATAAGATTGTTAAGAAACATTTTTTTTGAAGGCTAGCTCAATTAATTTTTCCGACATTATTCAAATAAAATAATCCTAAATAGTAATGAGCAAATATATTCTAATACGCTTCAACTAGAGTATAATTATGTTGTCGATGTTTTCATGATAATGAAGTAAGTGGCTGCGGGAATGCAGAGTAAGTCAAGGTCCAAGAAGTGCCGAATGCAGACGTCTTCTGTGACGAGGAATCGGATTTTTCTTTCTTCTCGGAAAATTGCTAAAGAAAATACAATTAGAAAATTTTCTTTACGGCAAAGAAAACATTCAGGTTAGACTATGAGGTGATGTGTATAAGGTGATTAACTAATCATCAAGCATCGACTTTGCTATTAATAATTAAAGGCTTTTAAATTAGAGCTATCGTCAGTAGATGAAGATTCGAAGCTTTATAGGTTATTGGATAACATTATTACCTACAGGTCAGCCATAATGCACTTCAGTGCATTTTGCATACATAGTACATCTATAAATACAGAATCATTATGAATGCAAATAGTAAATACGACTTATTTTTGTTCCATATGATATTGGAAAATAATATGTAAATGAATTTGCAGTTTTAAGGGCATTTAATGACAAACGTTCAGCATTTAGTTGAGGATTTGTGTCACAGAAGAGGTGTGGTCAGGGTGGGTTGACTGGCGACGAAGACTCTATTTGCTCTACAGAAATGCATGGCTTCTATTCTCGATAAAATTTGCATGTTTTTGGAATATGAGTATACATATATAGAAATTTTTTCTGTTGCTGATTATTATTGATGCATAAAGAAGTTTGTGACAACTATGAAATTCTTTTTTATTCCTGCTTAGGGCTGGATTTGATGAAATAATGCCATTTTTCCTAAAAGTGCATGTGATCGACGCCGCCATGTTCTACTGTCAGTTCTACAGTATTTATTATGAAGGATTGATGAATTTCATCCCAGTTTTGTAATCTTCGTAGCGCGGCCAGCAAAGTTTCAGGTAAATTGATGAAAACGCAAGTTAACCAAGAATTAAATGGCGAAGACAACGTCAAAAAATAATGAACGGGAATCTGTGTCACGCGAAGGAAAAATTATTTTCTTAATTTTTAACTTTAAACTAATTTCGCAACGGGAATTAGTGATTGATAAGTTTCTTGTAGGTTTCTAACAATATTGATCAAATCATAAAAAAAAACAATATAATTATAAAATAAATCATTTTCTGTTATGCAAACAAACTTATTTGAATATAAGTGTATGGACAATACTTCCCAAAACTAGTGAATTCCTCGAACGCATTTATACAAACTAATCGAATGAGAGTCCCAGCTTATTGCTATATACTGGAGAAACATTAGGTGCCGTTATATATGGATAATGCACGATGTTTTTCAAGTTGACGAATACACGTGGAATAAGCAAAACAATTTCAGAGAACAGCAGAAATAGTATTGTACGCAAATATATGATTCCATTCAGCCCATATTAATCAACTTGTAACTAAGGTATCTTTCCCCTGTTGTAGCTCCACTCCTAGGCAGTCAACTGTACAATTGGGAAATGATTACTGCAAGGCAAGCACAAATATATTTATTCACCACACATTGTTAAATTATAAATAAATGCTTTTCTCGCAAAATCAATACATAATAAACAAAGTATAACAGTTTCAAACTCGGATAGTTTTTCACTCAAAATCAACAAATTACTGAAAGCAGCTTTTTATATATGGTTTGTTTATGCATATGCCGTCGTCCATGACCCGCACCAGAAGCATCAGATAAGTCCGCATCACCTGAAGAAAATGAATGGTCAACCATTTTAATAGAGAAAATACATAGATGACTTAGAAAATAAGTCCACTGTAGGAATGCACGCATCGTACGGACTATACATAAGTGATATTATACCTTGATCTTTTCCCAGAATTTAAGTCATTTACAGTTTTTTACATGCAGTTCTTAGTTACAGTTTTTAGTGCATTCGCTATTAGGTGTAGAAGTTACCAAAGAAAATTATCCAATTTGATCATTCTAATTGATAATTCCCTAATTGACAATTCTAATTGATAATCTAATTAGCTTGATAATTCCCCTATCTAATTTGATAACAACATTTTATACACTTCAAGGAGAGGCAATTTGAACAATAAATTAGCTCGATGACTGAAGGTGGGAAGACTGACGCTGGTACCTATTGCTATTGCGAGCTGCATTGATGGTAATGCTATGCTGCTCATTATTTGGTACACAATCATTACTAAGCACAAATTGATTGTCAATTTACCTCGAGACTACCTTCAGTTGGAAATGATCTCAGTTGTGAAAACGGCCTTGTACCCACGACTCCAGTTTTTTTGACCAAACATTGCGTAGTTGTAGTTCTTGTAGTGGAAGATAAGCTCCGACTTTTTACTCTTAAAAACTGTTCCTTTCGAAATTTCTTCACCACAGAATCTGACGTAATTGGATACAAAAACATTTAATTTTTATTATCTGATTAGAAAACATATCTATAGTGATTTGAATTATTTAGCAATGTAAAAATAAATTTCTAGAACTTTCGATGAAGAATAATAAACTTCTAGAACTATTTAGCATTTTGTTACAACTGATGCTACAAACCAGGGTTGGGGATTTTTTTGATTTTTTTTAATCAAAAAAANAGAATTAGCTAAGCTGCTAGCTACGTACAATGTATTGCACACTTGATGCCTCTGTACCAAAAACATTCAATTTATTGGAACATAATACACACTAAAGGCAACAAGTTTATATACCAATTTGTCATTCATAGTACATTTATACTAAACGATGAATAACAATACCTCAATGTAAATTAAAGACTGCCACTCAATATATTTAAATATATGAAAAAATAAAAAATAAATAAAAAAATCAAGTGATTTAATCACATGATTTAATGATTGCCAACCCTGCTACAGACACGGAATAATTTTAATTATAATTTAAAGAACCACCACAGAATCATGTTAGATGAATACTATTTTATTTTAATCCATCTCTTGTGATGTGAATATCTAAGAATATTTACAGAATGTTTGAGATTCATTATTTGAATACATAAATTTTGCAAGAAAATTTCAAGTTTTTTTTCAACTATTACGACGAAAACCGGTCTTACATGGCCCCCTCCTCCACGGAGACGTCAGAACGTATCTCCAAGGAGCTGTAACTGCAAGTCTTGTTGAAACGCGGCAAGATCTGGAAGTCTTCGAACTTGACCACTGCTCTCTGGCCTTCGGGAGCACGCATCACTTGCGTGTACTGTATACCTGTAACAAAATTTGATCTCATGCATTTATTTACACTTTCGATTAGTGTATCCTGGGATAGGTTATACAAAGCAAGGATAATTTCAGGCTTGAAGGGCAAGTCTTATCAAGAAAGATTTGAAATTCTGAAGCTTCCGAGTCTCTGTTATCGACGTCTGCGTGGCGACCTCATTGAAATAAACAAGTATAATCACGGTTCATACAAGGTCACAGAAGGATTCCTAAAATGTGAAAAAGAATCAGCACTAGAGGCCACGGCTGCAAACTAAAAAAAATGCGGTACATCTCTCCCATGCGACAACACTTCTCGCTTCGAGTCACCGACATGAGGAACAGCGCCTCTGATGATATACATGTACATGTTTGTGCTCCGAGTATGAACGCCTTCAAGTACAGACTAGACAATGCTTTGCCGCCTATACAGGAGCAAATGTTCAGTCTTGAAATGCTTTGTACCGTACGGAACCATTGAAAGTTCAGTAACAATTTCAAACCACCGTCAGTTGAAATGATCTGGTTAAAAGGCTAGTTTTTAGATCCGTGAATAAGTCACGAAAAGTAGAAGAATCTGCCAAAGGCCTATCCAGGCCTTAGTATCCGTATTATTTGTTTCGGACGTAGCAGTCTCAGACCACGATGGATTGCCGCCTATAAATATTATATTATTATTATTGTATATTAGGCCTATTTCTATAATAGGCCTTTTTCTTCTTCGACGCCGAAGATACTACGTATACTAGACAGAGTATCTAATGATGGCACTCTTCATATTCGATTGTTCTGATGGTCGAACGGCTTTTCGCTAGATTAGATAATCTGTGACGGGAATTTTGAATTGTCTATTATTCACAATACTTCGCATGGTATTCATGCAATATTTATCCGTTCTTCTGTAAGTTTATATCCCCAAACTTACGGTCTATATTGATTTTTGGACTGAAAGGCTACGTCCGACTCAACTAGTAATATAATTGCAATTTTTCAAAATTGTCTTGTAAGAATCATGTCGCATCCGCAACAACTGGATGAAATATTTGCAAATACTTGTATGACTGATTTTGCACATCATTCATTACCTTGGTGTTTTTTTATGATGTTTGAGGCTAAAAAAGTAAATTGCAGATTCTAGAAATCGCAGCAATTTTTATGTCCATCGTTTATGACCGAAATTATTTAATCTAATGATGAAGTTTAAACTGCTACTCAGTTCTAATATGATCGTGAAATTTAATTTTGAAGCAATTTTAGGGCTATTTATCAACAGCTATGCCAAATTCACATGTTAGAGATCAAATTTTCTGCTTAGCAGGAATGCTACAGAGAAAAAATGTAGCAATAAATAATACATCTATAACTCATACCTTCCCGTGGACCATTTGTTGGGTATCCAGGAGAGATGACTTCTTCCCCTGGAGTAATTAATCGGCTATATGGGGAGACCTTCCTTACAATGACATCTGCGTGAAAATGAAACGTCTAAACCAAACAATACCAAAACAAGGCAGTACAATTTTAGTTGCATTCATTATTGCAATTAAACGGTCAGGTTTCTTGCGATTTCATTTATAACTTATAAAGCCGCATTCCAGCCGTGTCATGCTCTTTCTGCCCTTTAGGTTTGCTCGCATGCTGCCTGCTTGCCTCACCGTTGTAGCTCATGATGAATGTCTCACAGTTTGCACCAATTGTGCCCCAAGGACAAGCACAACTGCAGTCCTTCTTGGTGTAGCCGCCGTTCTTGCAGGGGTCAGGTGACCGGTCGCAGGCCTCCAACCAGTCAGCTAAATCGACAAAGATAATAATGAATGAAATAAATATAAGTACAATATGAAAATTTCATACCGAAGTTCCACTATATACTTATTATAAATCAGAAACTCTAGAGGTAAAACTAATCAATGTCAAGATAAAATTCATTGAAATTAATCAATTCTGACCCTTCAGTCGACTTATAAACTTATGTAGATTCCGTCACACAAGTCTGTGAAAGTCCTAACCAAGAAAACAAGAAGAAAATATATGCTATGTGATCAATTATCATCGGCATATCCACTCACTTCCGTCAACTAAAATGCTTTACTTCTAAATTTGTTGACATTTCTAAAAAAGAAAGAATCTTCGACAAATGAAAAATTCATAGTGTGATATTCGAATAAAAAGAGGATAACTGATAATTTCACCCTGATTTATCCAACGAACAACGTGCTATTGAGATAGAACAACAAGAAATTCAAGTCTATATATAAACAGTAAATTTCAATTATTATTCGTATATGAACAGTTTAACAAATGATCTCTATCTGTCTTTTTTCAATAATTCTCAGATAAGTTACGTCAAGAAGGTACATATATTATACAAAGCTACAAAATAATTATAAGAAAGTATTGAACAAAATTAAGTGGTCTTAGCATATCGAGTACATAACACATGCCTCACCTATGCAGCCGTACATGGTGTTCACGAGCTTCATGTTCATGTAGGAAATGAAGTTACNACAGCCTCAATTCTCCGATGCATTGATTCATGCAAATAGGGATTTTTTCCAAAGGAATTGTTACCATTCTTCAGTTAAAACTTCCTCCGGCTCTTTTAAAGACGATGGCGGCGGGAATCGACTTCTAACTCTGTAAAATCGACTATAAATGCTCTATAAAATTCAGGTCTTGTGATTATGGTGGTCAAATGAGATGCTGAACTTCATTACAATATTTCTCGTGCCATTTTTCAACAATTCCACTGTATGGATTGGGGGCGTTATCATCTTGAAGGATGGCGTTCCCTTCTGGAAACAGTGCATGAACCATTGGATAAACTGGGTCCTCCTAAATTCCTAAATAATCATGACTGTTGATTCTTCCATGAAGAAAAATCATTGGTCCGTCGGATTTCCAAGAAATAGCACCCCAGATTATCACAGATCCCCCGCCATGTTTTACGGTTAGGAGGAGGCAGTTGGGATTGAATGACTCTTTTGGAGCAGGCAGACGGGATTAAATTACATCTCCATACGTAAACTCGGCGAGAGGTTGGAAATAATCGATGATTCGTCAGAGAGAATCACATTTTTTCAATGCTCGAGGGAATAATTCTGGAAATTTTTACACAATTATTAACGCTTTGAAGCATTGGTATTTGGAACCAGGGGTATTTTAATTGCGCTCTTCCATAGAATCCAGCTGATCTGTGGAGCTCTCGGCGGACAGTATTATGGAAACTAGTTCTGTGGGTGTTCTTTGAGTAATTTTAACAGCCGTGGTCTTTCGATTGTCCGTCACATCTCGATTTCGGCACTGACTGTCCCTCTAAAACAACTTCGAGTTTCGGCCAGACCTGTGCTTTGTAAATGATGTTTTTCCTTCGTTTACAAAAGTAGTCATTATTTTTGAGACAGTACCTCCTGAAACATCAAGCATTCGCGAAATTTTTGCCACACTTACACCTGCTTTACGTACGGACACCAACAATTTGGCCTCTTTGGAAGTCAGAGAGGTTTGCCACATATAGATTAGGTTATAGACACAAAAATTTACTGAAATTATCTGTGCAATGAAAAAATTTCAATTAGCAGTAACAATAGTCAATAAAACATAAAAATATGTCCCGTTTTCATTGATTAGAACATGTTCAAAAATTCCGATATCAAATTTAAAGGAGTTCCCTTCAGGTTCTCCATCCCGTCTTTTTATTATACCTTTATAATTACCTTTTTAGGTTACAAAATATCCATAGTCAGGAAGATGTTAAATTAAGAGTCATCATTCTGCTGGCGTACCAAACTAACTACGTATGTCTTGCAATGTAAAAGAGTTTTCAGTTCCTTCAATTTTTTCAGGTTGAACTTCCATGAATTTCGAACTGTGTATTATTTCGAATTGAATTCCGAGATATAAATAACGTTCATGCAGCAAAATATTTACAAAATCACGCAAAAAAGATTGTTAAGAAATGTGTTTTTTGAAGGCTATCTCAAATAATTTTTCCGACATTATTTAAATAAAATAATCCTAAATAGTATTGAGCAAAAATATTCTAATATGCTTCAACTAGAGTAAAATTTAATTGTCGTTGTTTTCATGATAATGAAGTGGCTGCAGTAATACAGAGTAAGTCAAGGGCCAAGAAGTGCCGAATGCAGACGTCTTCTGTGGCTAGGAATCAGATTTTTCTCTATTCTCGGAAAGAAAATACAATTGTAAAATTTTCTTTACGTTAAAGAAAACATTCAGGTTAAACTAATAAATATTGTTTTGGCTGGCACGGACTTGCGGATGCTGTTTGCGTTTCAAAGTGTAAGAGGTCAGAGGTGATAATGGTTAACTAATCATCAACCTTGCTATTAGTAATAAAAGACTTTTAAAGTAGAGTTATCGCCAGAAGATGAAGATTCGAAGCTTTATAGGTTATTGGATAACATTATTACCTACAGGTAAGCCATAAAGCATTTCAGTGCATTTGCATATACTGTATTGTCCATCTATAAATACAGAATCATTATGATTGAAAATATTATATACGACTTATTTTTGTTCCATATGAAATTGTAAAATAATATTTAAACGAATTTGCAGTTTTATGAGCATTTAATAACAAACGTTCAGCATTTAGTTGAGGATTCGTGTGGCAGAAGATGCGTGGTCAGTGTGAGTGGACTGGCGTCGATGACTTTATCTGCTCTACATAATAGCATGGCTTTTATTCGCGCTACAAATAGCATGTTTGTGGAATATGGGTATTTATAGAGACTTTTTCGTTGCTGAATATTATTGATGCATAAAAATAGCTTTGTGACAACTATGAAATTCTGTTTTATTCCTGCTTAGGGCTGGATTTGAAGAATTGATGTCACTTGTTTGCTTAAATCGCAAACTAACTAAAAATTTAAAAGCAAAGAATAGTCCACAAAAATTCTAGATTTGTGATTCAATTTGTGATTCTAGATTCTACGAACTGACGATGGAGCTGGTCTCCGAAACGTTTTCTATAAAGATATGAATTTTTGTGGGCTGGATTTGATTAAATAATGCCTGTTTTCCTAAAAGTTCTTGAGTTAGATGCCTCCAATTTCTATCGTTCTACAGTATTTATTATGAAGGTTTGATGAATTTGATCCCAGTTTTGTAATCTTCGTAGCGCGGCCAGCAAAGTTTCAGGTAAATTGATGAAAACGCAAGTTAACCAAGAATTAAATGGCGAAGACAACGTCAAAAAATAATGAACGGGAATCTGTGTCACGCGAAGGAAAAATTATTTTCTTAATTTTTAACTTTAAACTAATTTCGCAACGGGAATGAGTGATTGATANACGGACCAGGCAATAAGTCCAGCAGCTATCTCAATCAATCGTGAGCTGTGGAAAGATCGGGTTCCAAAGGCCGGATCCCTTGTGAATCAAGTCACGAAAAGTTCAAGAATCGGCAACAGGCCATGGGCCTATTTCTCCAACGCCGACACTTCTATTCTATTCTTATCTGTCTTTGAGGTTCGCTCCCATGCTGCCTGCTAGCCTCACCGTTGTAGCTCATGACGAGGTTCTCACAGTTAGCGCCAGTCGTGCCCCAAGGACAAGCGCAACTGCAGTCCTTCTTGGTGTAGCCGCCGTTCTTGCAGGGGTCTGGTGACCGCTTACACGCCACCAACCAGTCAGCTTAATCAACAAAGAAAATAATGAATGAAATAAAATAAATATAACCACAACAGGCATAACTTCCACTACTCAATATAAATTGTTAACTCTAGAGATAAAACCAATCATTGCAAATTCATTGAAATTAATCATTTCAGACCTGTCACTCGACTTATAAACTTATGTTGATTCCGTCACACAAGTCTGAAAAACTTCTAACCCAGATAACCCCTTTGAAAAATATGCAATGTGAGAAATTATCATCGGCATATCCATGCACTCACTTTATTCAATTAAAATACTTCACTTTAAAATTTGTTGACATTTCTAAGAAGAAAATCTGCTCCAAATTAAAAATTCATAGTGTGATATTCCAATAAAAAGAGGATAACTGATTATTTCACCCCTAATTTATCCAACGAACAACATGCCATTGAGATAAAGCAGCACAAATTTAAGTTTATAAACAGTCAATTTAAATAAGACCAGGGAATCTGATCATACATCTGAATACTCAGCTTTTTTAAACGTCGTATTTAATTATTATGCGTGCTAGCGATCAATGATAAACAAATGATCTCTATTTTTTCTATTATACCCAGCTAAGTTACATCAAAAGGTATATTATAAAAGTAATATATTAACAAAGTTATAAGAAGGTATTGAACGAAATTACGTGGCCTTTGCATATCGAGTACATAACACATGCCTCACCTATGCAGCCGTACATGCATGGTGTTCACTAGCTCATGTTCATGTTGGGAATGAAGTGACCGTAGCATATAAATAACACATGCCTCACCTATGCAGCCGTACATGGTGTTCACTAGCGTCATGTTCATATAGGAAATAAAGTAACCTTAGCATATAAATAACACATGCCTCATCCATGCAGCCGTACATGGAGTTCACTAGCTTCATGTTCATGTAGGAAATAAAAAGTAACCTTAGCATATAAATAACACATGCCTCATCCATGCAGCCGTACATGGTGTTCACTAGCGTCATGTTCATATAGGAAATAAAGTAACCTTAGCATATAAATAACACATGCCTCACCTATGCAGCCGTACATGGTGTTCACTAGCTTCATGTTCATGTAGGAAATGAAGTGACCTTAGCATATACATAACACATGCCTCACCTATGCAGCCGTACATGGTGTTCACGAGCTTCATGTTCATGAAGGAAATTCCAGGAGCATTCCCCATGATTTCTTGGAAACGGGCGTNATAACACATGCCTCACCTATGCAGCCGTACATGGTGTTCACGAGCTTCATGTTCATGAAGGAAATTCCAGGATCATTCCCCATGATTTCTTGGAAACGGGCGTCTTTAGCGAGAATCACGCGCTTGTTGTTCTTTCCCGCGGCCTTCACGTGACAATAATGGACAGAATACATATGATATTACTATATATGCGAGCATGAAACATAGGTAATTTATGCATCATGAACACTGTTCAAGGTAAATCAGACATTTTCCTAAAACGTAATATAGACGGAATGATCTCAAAGTTCACCATACTTTCAGTAAATGTTTCGAAACCAAGATCCGCGATCAGTGGAGAAGAAGAGGAGGAACAAATTTCATGGTGAAATCTATTATGGAGATTAAAGCATAAGACACGAATGCTTGAAAAAAAAACGTTAAACGTATCCATAAAAATTTCAGATGTTATCAACGGATAGGCTAGTGTCAAACTACTGGCTTCAAGCAAGATTCTCGTCCTAAAATATACGGGAATAAAAAATTTCTCGAAATAAAGACACTGGAAGCACATGTTAAAATTTTGGCATCTGCTACCCATGCATACGAACAATTAATATAGAGCTGGCAACCAGGTATTGATAAGAGCTGGCATCCAAATAAAGGTATGGCGTCTTGTTTTCGTGATTTTCTTTGCTTCCAGATTATACATAATAAAAGTTTTCTACTATTCAGATGTCCATAATGGACATTTTTAAAGATTTAAAAATTAAGAAAGAAAACGATGGTAAAGAGTTCACATGCAGGTTATTTATTTGAAGGATATAATTTTTCATCCGAATGTCTATACATTTTGTAGGTTCTCATTTGTAGCTGTACCTAGTGAATACTAGAGATATTATAGGATTTAAAATTTATTTTTACGCAACGGAGGTAGAGCGGAACAAATATGAATGAATATAATCCATATGTGAGCCAGTTAATCATGGTCTGTCTTGATATCTATAAGATCTGATAATTTTGTAATAGTTTTAAGCTTTAGTAATAGCATCTAGTCCTGTTTATTTCGATATAATGTTAGGTCTTGTTTAGGTTTCATGTCTGTCTTTGCATTTTGACTTATAAAATTATTTTATTCATTTTTAGTTTAGTCGAACTGATGATGGAGCTGGACTCCGAAACGTTTTCAATATCGATATTGTTAATTTTCTTGGCGTTTTCTTTGCTTTTAAATTCCTTGTGATATTTCATTTTGTGATTTACGGGTAGTTCTAGAACAAAACGAGAATTCGTCCCAAGCCGCCTCGGCAACACTGTTCCCTCTCACTCTTCAGTCTTCACCCGATTTAGTGCCAACGAGATGTTTGTTGCTTTCGCTCGTGCTTTGTTATAAGTAATTGTCTACTGGGTGAGTAATAGGTAGCCTTAGTATACCTAAATGTGTTACCAATTGTCGTAGGTAAGCATTCTGTGGAATATATTCTGGTATTCCTGACGATTCTGGCATTCATAAAATTATTGATTACCTTGATAGGAAATGTGTTCCCTCCCTCCCCCTTAGGGGTAGTCTGTTCTGATAAATGATATTATCGTTTCCCTGATGATCAAATTAGTTTATTAATTTTATTATGTATTCAATTATATTGTCACTTCCTCGAAGACCATATTTAGTATGATTATAACTCAACCGTTGATCTTAATCCGTCACTATATATAATAAGAGTATGTAAAATGAGCATTTTTCATTATGTTAATAAATCTTGAGGCCGACGTGAATGTGAAATACAATGCTGTTTCCATATTATTTATTACTAATTATTATTAGGCTAGAGCAGTTGACTGAGTTGAGTGGACTGAAATTTTCATTTAACTTTTGTAAGACCTAATGTTCAATCCGATTAGCCTACTGTGTCTTTGACTAGAGTAAAGATCAATGTGGCAATGAATATTGCTTATGAGAGGGAATATAGTTAGTAAATTATAACCAAGATAAATTAAATCGCAGCTGAATGAAACATTGCATGGCAGTACTAGATTCAGTCAGCACCACTATTATCAGATTATCATTGTTACTATTTTGATGGCGAGTTTTGATGAAACTAATTGTTGATGAATTTGAGGGATTTTGAATTTTGTTGTGATTGAACTTAATTATGTGAATTTGAATTTGAGCTTGAATATGAATTATGCATGTAATATGAATTTTTAATTATGCATTGAATAGGAATTATGCACATGAATTGAGCATTTGGAGCTCTGTAGTGTTTTATTTTATTCTGAGAATGTTTGAATTAACAAATGTCATGTTCATGTTCTAATACTCACCCTTTGTTCTCAGGTCTTAGTACTGTGCATGAAGAAGGAACACTTTAATTAATAAATCATCAATTTGAGCGCATCAATTTCCTGACTAACCTACATCTCGGGGATTCATCAATCCGAAATCTACCAAATTGCCTCACTTAACGCCAGTACCGAAACCCCTCAGTATAATAGTACAAAACCCCCGCATATCTTATACTGCAAATAAGTTTAGAGGACTCGCACCTGCAACGGATACTTCACTTACAAAAATGTGTGAAACATTGTCCAAATAGTGATGCCCTTTTTGGCCCTTATGAGTTTTCCTAACACAGTTTGGACTGAAAAAAGAAACACATCAGTGTTACGACCACTTTCTGCTTCTGCTGCGGGAATGAAAGAGCATCGTTATGTGCACAATGAACCATTCATTTTTCTGACTGTTTATTTTGGATTAAAAGTAGATATAAATATACATACTCTTATGACTCGTACTCTTATGTCTCACCCGGTCATGATAATGCATGACTGAATAGTAGTCGTAAGGAACGTCAAAGTTGACGGTATTGAGTTTAATGAAATTATATTCCAAGCCGGGTATGACGTTGCTCCTGACCACGATGATGCTGTTGTCCCTGAAAATGAACAACATTTGTACAAAGTTAATCACATAGATTCAATAAAGTTGAGTATAAATGATTAATTTCTTTTTGGAGTGAATTATTTAGTGACTACATAGATTCACGAATAGCTACAAAAATAGAAAAGTGAATATAATGAACTGAATTGTACTGGCACTCGGAAGAACGTTTACGTCTCTGCATGAATATGGATACAAACGCTTCTAATGTAAGGTTGTGTTTTCTGTCAAAACCGACGCTTATGTAATCCATACCAGACGTTCGACCACCTGTCCAGCACAAGTAAATACATAAGCAGAATAGTTCAAGTGACTTGGGAATGAGTTCGTTAGTATCATGACTGATAGTGACCAAAAGGGATAACGAGGCACAGTATTGCAATTAAAGGCGTACTTATTTGAGCGGTTAAACAGACTGGAATACAAGCTGCAGTATGAGCTTTAAGGCTGGTAGTCAGAGTGTGACGAAGTCTGATATCGAAGTATTCGCAACCACGATATAAAACCCTGGTTCTGTCCTCAGATCGACAAGTCGCTACTCTGGAGCTCGTAGTCTTCGTAACATGATATCTGAGCCAGCATGAAATTTGGGGCAACTGGTGACTATCAGGTGGCTGAGGAAGGCCAGCGCTGGGCTAAAATTAATTGACTCGGGCCGACCGAAAGCCTATTTCCTCGCTTTTCGTTGAGAGTCCTAACCGCATGGGCCGTCGAGTTTTGCAGCTCACTAATTTAGGACCTTTGCCTCCCCTGATACTTGCCACAGCACCTTCATCAGTGCCTGTTACTCTACGGGATTTGCGCGCCACATATGAGCATGTTCGTTCATAACTAGTTTGTGGTATATAATATCTACAACAAGGAGGCAGATCAAGAAATGCCTAGTATACCATTCAGTGGAGTATAAAAAGTATAACGCGAATACATCTCGAAAAAAGTGTAGAAGTCGCACAATTCATGAAGATTGATATTCACAGTTTTATAAAATTTTCTTCATCGGTTCTCTTTTAATACAAAGTTTACGTATTTTTCGTTACTGTCCGCAAATTTAGGAAAGCATGGCAAATTGTTATAATTATATTATATTATAATAATTTCCTAACAAATAAATTGTTAGGAAAGCATGGCAAATTTCATATTTATATCTCTTTTGCGAGTGCTGTAGAGTTCAGCCTAATTTGCGAAGAACTCCATAGTATGCCGCCAACCCTATCCGACGCCTCGCGGTTCTATCGCACTATCCCATATAGCGGGTATCGTTCTCCGCCCAGGACTGAAGGTCTTGGCGTGGTACACCAACAAAAACAGAGCTGACGTCAACGGCCGTAAACAAAGTCCCAACTGACACTACTTTATATAAAAATTGTACTTTTTGCTGAATTATTAGAAATTCTACCGGCATCTACGAGCGTCAGAATGATCAATCTCAATCGATCCCTCACAACAGATTCCTAATATTCCTAATAGATGGTTCTAATAATAAAATGACTGCCAAGCCTTGTTCAGTCTTAAAATGTCTAGCAAATTACGGACCAGGCAATAATTAAGTCAAGCACCTATCTCAATCAATCATCAGTTATGGAAAGATCGGGTTCCAAAGGCCGGATCCCTTGTAAATCAAGTCACTAAAAATTCAAGAATCGGCAACAGGCCATGGGCCTATTTCTTCAGTGCCGACACTTCTATTATATTCTATGAACAAGAATCGGCAACAGGCCATGGGCCTATTTCTTCAGTGCCGACACTTCTATTCTATTCTATTCTATTCTATTCTATTCTATGACAACTCAATTATAACAAGTTAGTTCCAAATATTGTCAGCTTGTGCCTCTTTTCTCAACTTTGACGCAATGAATCAGAGAAAAATTGTTTCTGCACATGGCCAGATAATCAAAATTTCCAGACGCCTAAGATTCTACAATACAGAGAATTCCTCTAATAATGACGATAACTAAGATATAATGAGCTAAAAAACTATTCCCAGACTTGACTAACTCCAAAAATAATACCCAAAATTAAATTTGGGTCGATGAGTATAATCCGAAACGTTCAGGCGATTTTTATGCAATAGAATTTCTATACGAACATTGACTCACGTTGCCCATACAAGCAACTCAATATAAGTCATACATCATCATGCAGGTCATACACTCATACATCATCATGCAGGTCATTCACTCATACATCGTCAACGGGTTCATTTTCCTACACGAACCTGTCGCTGCGGGAGTGCTCGTGCTGTAACCCCATCGCGTGGCCCAACTCGTGGATGACTCCCCTGAGCTGTTGATGATTAATTAAATATCAAACCATTTACGTTAAGTGACAACATATCGCAAAAAATCGTATCTTTGAAGGCGCATCATGTAAAAATTAAAAGATTTCTAGGTATTTCTTTATTGATTGCATGTTTCAAAAAATATAAACTAGAGAAGTATCTGTGCATCTATTGAAAAAATGCCTGCACGTGCACTACAAGGAGCTTACAGCTGTGACCTTGTCTCTCGACCAATCGATTAAGCAAGTAACGTACACATCTACTTCAAAACTTTATACAGCCCGCACCGCACCCATATATTTTGTACTCACGTGACAAGCATCGCCAAAAATGCTGACTGTTGTGACCTTGCCGTGTGTGTACCCCACGTCGGAGAAACAGCCGCTCTGTATCGTGATCTTCAGATACTCGGTGTCTGATGCAGTCATCTCTGGGAACTCTAAGCACGAATTAGCCTCCCAGGATCGGAACGCCAATTTCAGCAGAGTTACGTTTAAATTCGCTGTCAGGTCAGAGAACGGGTTTGGCTTTAGGTTATTTGAATGTATTAGTTAAATGGTATTAGATTTTATTTAATGACACAATTAACACATTAAAATTAAAATTCCGTTCAAAGGGCCATACTACGAGCCAAATTCAACAGCAAAATATTCTGCAAAATGTGAGAAAAACGTCGTCTTGTACCTCTCTTTTTTAGCCGACGTACAACAAAAGTCCATGGCTCACAAATAAAGTCCATGAATTGGTGATGGATATCAATTGGATCTCGTATAATTTTTTACTTACTTTGAATGGAACGAAAATTTCCATAGCAGCAGGCTCCGTAAATATTATATACTTATTGAATACGTAACAACTTACGATTTGCTATCTTGTAGGGAATTTTTACAACTCCGTTCACTTTCGGCCAAAGTTTGGCTATGGAATCCAAGTTTTTAGCAAGCAAACTTTGCCACTGGTCCGCGGAGTAGAGCATGTCGCCGACCAACACCGACCCGTCCGATCGGTGAGTAACGCCCTGGTGGGATCAGACATTTCATTCTCCGGGATAAAATCAGAAATGCACATAGTCATTTACTGCCCAAAGTTTTTCATAGGAATAAGGCAATTGTTTGCAATGCTCATTTATTGGCTGAGATTATGCCTCTACGATCTACCTGTCATAAGATTACTGCAATCTCAACCGAATCGTCAGTCTACATGTAAATGACATAGTAGTTGGAAGATACTACGCCATTTTCGCGAACGTTTGCAAACCTGTGGTCTGCATTTTCTTTTTGCTCGGTGGAGTAAGCACGAGGGGTCACAGAACAACCGGAATAGGATGACAGCAGCAGAATCACAAGGAAAGTGCACGGAGCTAATTTCGTGTGGTTATTCAGCTGTTTGTTGGTCAGAGGAACCTCATGGTTCCAGCCAAGGTTTTGCATGTACTAATATGGTATGTTTTAGATATATGGCCATGGGTGGCAGTTAGTTTTGCAAGTAGAAAAATTAATGGACCTCCCACTCAATTTTATATTGTCAAAAGCTGCCTATTCTCAAATTATACTTAATGCCTCATATCTTTCCTGACTTCTCATTTGGAATTTCTGTAATAACGTTTCTTTTTAGTTAAATTTTTGACAAAATAATTATGAGGTCTTCTGTGCTCGAGTGATGTGAATAGCAACGAGCCCTCTGCGTAGGGATACACATTTTATCAAGTTTGGAGAGGTAATTATTTCTTCATTTCAAACTTTAATTTCTCGCGTAAGGTTTTCTGGGCGTCAAGCACTAGCTTCCATTCCCGTCCAAAATTTTAAGCTTCCAAAAGAATAGTGATACACCTTTATCGAATTATTGTCTATTCTGTTATTAATTAAATAATTCGGTTATTATTAAACTGTATTCGGTAATTAATTAAACCATGTTCCTAATCTCAACTCTTTCCATGTAGTCTGTCTAGTGAATTTAGAAGAGATCAACTGTACCATTGGAGCAGCGATGACGGCCGCTACAATAAAGCAGAAGCACAGCGACAGGAGCGATAGATGCACCATTTTTAAACGCCTGCCGAGTAACTCTGTAACAAAATTTGCACATGTAAGAAACTTTTATTTTTCATCCTAACTTAAAGAAACTGAACCAGCAAAAGAGCAAAATTTAAAATAATTTTTAAAATTTACTGTTCATTCACTGGATAACGTGTTTAATTTGGAACATGAGCTAAAACCATATATATCAATGCAAAAACTTCAATAACTTCATGAAAGTTTTTTCAAAAGTACTAATAAAAAAAGAACTCCCCAAAAAGAACTCAACAAAAAAGTTTTAAAAGAAAAATAAGTGTGATTGATAAATTCAGGAAAAGATCATACGAAAAAAATGCTAGTATAATATTGAAAAACGATGAACAATTTGTTTTTAAAGGCTTGCAAAATTTATTTGAAATTAGAGAGAAGCAAAATGGTAGCAAAATGTGCTACCAAAGTAAATCCAGATAGTAAAGTCGACCTGGAACCTATTGAGGACGAAGCTGAGCTTGGGTTTACAAAAAAAAATATAAGAGATCTCAAGAGAAGCCATAGAAAGAAATTCGCGACGCTGAAGCCAAAACAAAGGCAAAAATTCAGCCAAAATATGACTTGACTCAAGCTGAAGTAAGCCGAATCGATGACAAAGTACAAAAAAACTAAGGAAAGAGATGGAAGCCCTAATGAGTAACAAATGGCTAAATTAAAGTCAGAGCAAAGCGGAAGCAATTTCTACAAAGTAATTAACAAGATGTTTGAAATTTTAGAAATATTTTGACGGAGTTTTACATGGAACATTTTCGTTATGCCGAGCTGAATTTCCATGTCCTACGTACTACGATGGAATACGTATAATGGTTGGCAATTAAATCATTTTATATGCTTTATAAATTCTTCTTAAAGTTACTATAACATATCAAGCATCAGTATAATGGCAAATATGAAATGCACTACTTTGGCCTCACCGACCGCTCACTCACCTGCTAATGGGAGACGGTGTCTCTTTTTGAGCTGCGCAGGTCGCGCACGCCATATTATATGCTATGAGGAGAGGAGGTAGAGCAGTGCAGTGAAAATAACTTGCTATACGACAAGTTGTCACAGGTGCTGAGTTCAAAATGGAAGTCCGGCCTCTCATTGGTTGGGAATATTTACAGCTTTGTACAACAAACAGAGCCATTTTGTCCAGCACTTATCCAGCTGATGGAAAGTGAAGGGCTGGATGAATTGGATGGATATATGGAGAAGAGTCAGAAGGCCCAGGAGGAGGAGAAAATAACGAATTATGCTCAAGTTTGAGCGGGGAAGATGATGGTCATGTGTAAGAATGAGACCGTCAAGAAAAAGGAGCGGGTGCAGAGAGAACAAAATTGTCTGATTTAATAACGTAAATTGATAATTGAGAGCAAAATTCACTATTTCTGAAATAAAACAAAGATGTTTTAATTGAAATAATTATATAGTTCGGATTAGTTCAACATTTTTTCAAATGGTTTTTTTAACTTTTTAATAACTGAATTTAGTTGATCACCATTGCATAGCTTCCTGGCCAATCAATGTGTTCGATCAAAAAGATTAATTTTGACTGCATGTATTGCATGTTGACATGGATATACGAGTACTTAAAAATCCGATCATTTTTAATGATTAAAATAAAGAGCTATAAACATGCATTGCTTGTTGATCGTTGTTCAATTAGTCATCTATTGACCGTTGTTCTAGCAAACCTAATTGCATAAAATTAAATTAACAGAAGAGGAAAAATTCCTACAAAAAAATTACAGTCAAGAGGGAAAATTCTTGCATTGAAGCAATGGAATGAACAAACTACTCAACAAACGAAAAATACTGAAAATCAAACGCCATCAAACGGACAGACTATGCGAGTAATAACGATCAAAATCAGTGCCAGAAAATGATGGAATGACTTTTTTACTTTGTATAGTATTTTCATAAATATTTACTAGTAATTTTTTGCGGATTTCACCTTTTATCTAAAATGAGTAAAAATTTAAATACTAAAATTAATTCAGTTCTTTGAGACACGATCTTTTCCTCACAGATATCTTTTTGTTTGCTGTAAGAAACAAATATGAATTCGTTGCGTCTCTGTACTAGCAGTTGCAGCGACATTTGACACCAAAAAAAAATAAATTTATGGCGAACCGCCCAATCTGCAACCATGCATCATTTCAACGGATAACATTTTGACTTTCTCTGAAATATTCTAATTGGACAAAAACTGAGTCGTATTTCACATAAATCATAATCAGCTTAACAACTATCATAACTTATATTCACTCAGGAATTTACAAGATAATATGTTAAAAGGGTTAAGTGTGCTAACAATATATTCATGTCTCGTTTCGAAGTAAATATTTCGGGAAAATTCAAATGGAATGGAGTTTCCCGTTGATTTTTAGAAAACCTTTCAGGCATTCTGTAACCCCTAATAATGATTATTCAATATTATAACGAAAAAAATGATTCAACAATGAACAATAACAAATCGTTTCAATTGCGCGTTCGATTAAATTATAATTGCAATTCTACTAGTAAAAAAAATAAACCTGATGAAGACCGTACATTAGTTTTTGAATATTTTCACAATTAATGCTAATGAGCCGAATTTTGTTTTCACCATAAATTCTAGAACGATTTTTCGCAACGGTAGAAAGCTTTTCTCCTGAACATATTCCTATTGTTCAGTAATGTTCTCATTTTCTGGGCTTTTGATTCTTGTCTTTTCTGCTATTTTCCTAGCGATGAGTCAGCCTCTGAATCAATGCTCGACCAACTGGCTGAGTTTGTTTTAAAAAGCTGTAAAAAATTTTCAGCCAATAAGAAATGGCATTCTGTTCAGGACGCCGCACCTGTGACAACTCGCCGTCTGGCGCATCACTTGTATCAAGAATACCGAGGACAAAGAACAAAATTCGCCGGTCACGGATACGATGCGGCTGCTGTGCTAGAGTTCTTATATTGTTCGGTTGAAAACGAATATTATTTCGCTTCACCTTCTCGCAGAAATTAAAATTACTGATCAAATCTGTACTATACAGCCTTTTTCTTCTGAGATTTTGTTGTAAATCCATCTCATTCATTAGGTTTCGGTTGGAAGGAAATTCGATCAAATTCTCTCATTCGAACTGTTCATCGGTGAAAAATTTCATCACGAAATTATTTTTCACATGAAGAAACTTTCGGGCTTCTTTCTGCACAAAGAAGTGTTTTTAATTTTTTTTCATTTTTAGCAATTCAGGGGTGTCTGGCAACTAAAATATACTAATTGAAATGGGCGTCAAATTCTCGTATGATAGAAACTTTTCTCTTTCCATTGCTAAATTCATCTCACAAAATTTCTGTGAAATTCGTCTTCTTCTTTGTTCGAAGCTATGATGGCTTTAGACTTTACATTTTTTTTTCCACTTTAGAAAACATTCTTATGCGGGTCGGTGCGCAGAAAATGAACAGGTGTCTTCTTGTATATATATTTACACAGGAATAATTCAACGTCCTCGCAACAAGTGAATAAGAAAAGATTTTCTCAAATGGCCTGTGAGAATATGAGCATTAATTTTTCAGCGCAATACATCCAAGGTTTCAACGCTGTTTCGTATCCAAGTTAATCAGGGCTGAAGTTTATTAATTACAAGGCTTGGTAGTGTCATGCAGGAATTTATGCCCTCAAAAATGCTATGCTGCATTTTTTCTTTTGCTCATTGCTGAAAGATCGCCTTTAGCAGAAAATCCCAATTGCTCCTTTGAAAACTTTTCATTTATTCTACAAATCTAAGTTTAGAAAAATATGTTCGAGTCATCAAAAAAATTTGCAAGTCACGAGTCTTCTCATTCCAGGATTTTCCTAGAGAAAAATATAGTTTTCCATGAACCTAATTAGATGATTTATTCGAAATAGGCTAAAATTTCAGACCTCGGAAAGCCTAAAAGCAGTTGCAGGCGGAAATTTCAGGCCTTGGCAAGCCGAAAAAGCCGTTACAAGCGCTGAAATTTCAGACCTTATCAAGCCGAAAAGAAAGTTTCAGGCGTTAAAATTTCAAATCTTGATGCGCCTTTGATGTGCATTAATGTGCCTTTTTATTGGGCCAAACTGGGTCAAGATGCACTAGTGTGCAAAAACTGTATCGCTATTTGGGCAAAAACTCACTGATTCCTCTGAGTGAATTTATTACTTTACATATACGTTAAAAAGAATAATAAACTGTCGTGTCGTAGGTACTCCTGAACATCCAATGATAGACACGAATGGGTTATATGAAAGACCTACACCAGTTAGGTACAATGGGCTAGAATGTATATCATGTTCTTTGGAAACACAATCATTGAATAAAATGATACAGTATGTAACGAGCAAATTTAAAACACTGTGTTATACGTCAAAACGGGTTATATTTTATAAAGAAATTCCCTAGTCACAAGCAATGACGACTTTCATAGCAGCGCCTGAGCGTGCTGTTTCGAACGCCTTGTTGGCCTCGACAAGCGGGAAGCGATGCGTGATGAGAGCCTTCACGTTGACGCGGCCGGACGCCACGAGCTCAAGAGCATCTTTGAAACTGCAAAATAATCACTAAATAATCACCGTCATTATTCCCAGCGACAATTTTGTCAAAGCAATTGAAATAAAAAAAAAAGTTAACAAAACTTGCGGTGAAAAGCCAATTTATTTATCAGACTAATGATTGATCACTGGAATCTTTAGCATCATCTGGTCATTGATAGTCATTAGTCTGGTCATCGAACTTTCAGTTCGAAGCAAACCAAAATTTGTACCCTATTTCAGAAAGTTAAATCAATATATTAGATGAATTTAGAGTCTGCAAAACATTTTAATTTCTTACATTACTCCGTTGTAATTCGTCTTGCAGAAAAGGCATTAACATATTATTTTTAGTTTCATGAACGCATTGCTGTATTGTAATTCATCGTGCATTACCCATGACCGTCTGAAACCACTGGAATTCTGTTCATCTCACGTTCTTTTGGATAACGGAAACTATGCAGCGAATGTTTGTTTTGCAGTTTATTAAGCAATGTTTAATGCAAGCATCCCAGCTGTCTTTTCCTCCAGACGAAACTTCTTTTCCCGTCCGTTATAACGGTAAGTAAACATAAACAGTTTTATGCGCAAAAAATCAACAAATCTCCCGTGTCGATTTTAGAACTATTAAGAGTTCAGTCTATCCATCTCCCAACCGGTCAGTGGTATTACTATTTTGATTTCTTACTTTTTAAACCTCACCTCTGTCACTAATTTTCCATAGCTACGTGATTGACTCACTCGTTCGCGTAGCAGAAGACACCGAAGATGTCAACTTCCCTGATGGCTGAGTNCCAGTAATGCAATACTCGCAGCGGTGGCATGGCAGGTTAGGTTCGACTGCCACGCGGTCGCCTGCAATTAGCACATATTTTCCACAGGCGGCATTAATTACAAGGTTAAAATACAACTTGAGCAGATTTACCTGAAACTAATATGATGAAACAATAGCAAATTCAACAATTTTGATACAAACATAGAGCAAAAAAAAGAAATAGAACAACCCAAGGAGCGTATGAATTCCTTAACCGTTTTATAAATTTTCTGACTTAAAACAGACGAGTAAAAAATTTCTTAACTTTAGTAACCAATAATCTGAATCAAAAGTTACGACTTTGTAGAAGTCGAAAACAAATGTAAAAACCGTTTATCATCACATAATTTAATACAATAAAAACTGACGTAACTATTAATTGTACTTGCAGCTGTTCAAAGCTAAAAGTGTCTCCGCTCGATCAATAACGGTTCTAAAATCCTTCGTTTAACTTCAAGGGTCCTCAGCTGCTTCAGAGACTCTCCTTTACTATTCAAATTTTAGGTATAAGGGCTCTCATGGATTTTGCTCTGTTCGAAATTATTTTCTCATTTGCCTACAGCAGTGGTTCAACCTGAGCTGTTTGTACCACTAGCGGTACTATATTAGAAGGCGTTCCAGGTCGTGCGCTATACTTTCGGAGGCATGAAAGAAGCAGTGAG